ACGATGAGAGAGAGAGAGAGAGAGAGAGAGAGGATGGGGAAATTGGATTGGCGGATTGCGGCTGATCTTGCGTTTGAAACGAGAAGTTTCTCTTTTGAAATTTGAACCTCGTATCTCTGTAATTCTTATTATTATCGATACGATTTATCGAGGAACAAGAATACAAAATGTGTATTTGTGAATCAAATGCAAGGCTCTTTGAACGAGACGTTTTACGTTTCCATTTCGAAGGGAAGTTTCGACAAACGCCTCCTTCGACGGGAACCAAACACTCCGTACATTTCGCGAACTTATCCAACTTGAATTCATATTTTTCCTCGCTGATAACCTCCCTTCAAGAATCACTTTACAATCTCTAACCATTATACCGAGTTTGTGAAAGTTTCGTGGAACATTCGATTATTCGACTCCCGCTATAAATCAACGGTGAAAAATTTCGCCACTTGATCGGGATATTTATTACTTTGGGGGGGCAACTCGAGCAACTCTTGGCTTGCCCTTGTAATAAAAGAGTTTGCTCGAACTGAGAAGGGAGCAGCATCGAGAGAAGAATCGGAAGAATTATCGCGCGGAACGCGTTTTCGTTAACAAAACGCTCGGGATAAAGAAAGGAAATGTGGTTGGGAGAGGGTTTAGGCGAGGGGGAGGGGGAGGGGGGAGGGGGAGGAAGGAGGTGGCGAGGGGAAAGGAGGGGGCACGATAATATTCCTCGGGCGAATTCCCACGAAACTCGACCCTCCTTATTCGCCTTAGTGAGATGTCAGCCTCGAAAACAATGCGGCCCACGTACCCGAAGCCGAGGAATCAAATGGCGGCGGAATACTAAACAAGCTGGAATACTTACCCTCCGCTACCCTCAACGGTTGGTAAGCAAAAGGATCTTCCGTCTACTCTTGTGCACGTACACGCCATGCCACGTGACCGACTGTTTTTCGACCGTTTCGACCACTCTACCCTCTCGCGGTTTCTCCCGGCAATGTCATCGTGTTACGCGAAAAAGAAGAGAGAGAGAGAGAGAGTTTGAGAGGTAATTTCGTAAGCCTTTCGATGGTAGTTGTACAATTTGTATCGTATGTAGATGAAGATTCACGCGTAAGATTTTATTGAAATATTTGATTTACTTTCTAGACTTTTACTTTCTAGAAGAAAGTGTTCAAAGTGTATCATTCATTAATTGCATCGTTATAAGCAATATTTTTCTAGGAATAAACGTATCCATCGCGTAACCTTTGCTTTGAAACTCGATTAAAAACTCGATTGAAATTGCGAAAACTTTGAACCGCTATAACTCCGAAAGTATTAACATTGAAACAACGAGTGAGCGATCGTTAGAAGCGGGGGACCTTCCTCTTTAAAACGCTTTTTGATTTATCTCGATACGACTTCCGGTTGCCGAGATATCGTCGTGTAAAGAGAAAGGTAATTTTTAATCATTTTCTATTTCTATCCTTGCCGCTTACTCGGATCTCTCGCTCGCACCTCGTCTCACTGACCTATACCGAATTCCAGACAAGTGACAGACGCGATTCCTAGAAAAACTAGATACTCGATTCTTGGAAGGACGTAGTACGCATTTCCAGGAAAAAAATGTAGGTCAGATCGCGAGCCCATTCATAATCTTTACGCTTACTCTTAAACTTTGAATGCTTGTATCTCGGCAACCGATTGAGATATCGGGATAAAACAAAAAGAGACTTCAATCGTATGATTTCCTCTATTTTTTTGAATGGATTTGGATAATCAAATTTTTCGTTTCTTCTCACTTTTCTTAACATGAAAAATCCAAATTATACGATTGCAATGATCCGTTATAATTGTAAGGTAGTAAGTGTAGAACAAATTTATTTAATTTTAGAACAATGATACGTATATTAAATTAAATATAAAAATTTATAATCTAGTGAGGAGTGCGAAGAGGTTGAATTGAAAAAATTTCTGGAACGAGAAGAATTTCATGACATACGTATACAAGAAAAAGAGGGGAGGGGGGGGGGAAACGTTGTCTATCGTAATTAGTCGAAGCCGTGATGGAGGATCCATCATTTTTTATCTGACAAGTGACGAAAGTCTGGAGATAGACACTGGCGTGCGCACACAACAGGAATTAATGGAGCTCGTGAGGGTTGCGGGCGTCTGTTCACTCGAACGCGAGACATGACAGTAATCAAAATCAAACAATGTTCGTATCCAATGGCCGTGTCAGTGTCAGCGATCTTTTAAAAAATAACCGCACCAGAATAATCGCAATTCCTTAATCAATCCCTCCACCTCGATCAATACAATCATTTTCCATCGATATTAAAAGGTATTCGGGCGTTCTTTTTTTTTTTTTTTTCTTATTTTCGTCCAATTTAGACGAAATTTTCTAAACAATTTTCCAGATAACAGATAATTTCCCCGTGAAACAACCTTTCCCACCAGCCCTGGGTTAACTGGGAACAGATGTTAATGATCGTCGAATGGGCGAGAGTTTCGCCGGCAGCGAAATTCAGAATTGCAAACAGGGTTGCACGGTACTCGGTTTGTTCCCTTATTTTCTTAATTGCAATATAAATGAATGCGCGCTGCATAGCCGCATAAAATTATTAGCGCTTTTGGGTGGATGCGTTCAAGGGGGAGAAGGAAGGGAATAAGATGGAAGAGGGAAAGTTTTGGGGGATTCCAAAACGAATTCACGGCGGAATGTATAAAAATGTATAAAAATGAAGCCGGCCAACTTCTCTTGGCGGGCCGTCTTTAATTAGCGCTTTGTGGGAACGGAAAGCGTTGTCTTGGAAAATGCATGCACTCGTTATACCCCGCGAATAATTTACGAGACGTAACAGTAGCAACTTTCATCCACGTTATACAAAAGACTCCATTCCAAGAAACGTTCCTCGCTTTCCTTGTTCAGATCGATCGCGATCCGATCGTTCGAGGCAATTGGAATTAAAAATTTCTAGAATCTCCACTAAATTGATATTCTTTTTTTTTTTTTTTTTTTAACAATTTATCAAAATCAACTGAAAACCTCCCAAGAGGAATTTCTTCTCTCTCTCTCTCTCT